TATGTATATATATGTATATATATGAAAGTCCTTGACAACCCGAAACCCTAAGCCCTTAACCCTAAACCCTAACTGCTGCTAGGTGGAAAAAGGTGCTTTAAGAAAACCCTAAACCCTGAACCCTAAGCCCTGAAACCCTAAACCCTGAACCCTCCACCCTAAACCCTGAAATGCCGCCGAATTCCTTTTGACCCTACTCTCCGGTCTCGAGGCCTCCCAGGGCAGCGACCCGGGATCCGAGCCGAGGAGGGCACCAGAGAGTTTTTTTTGGTATGTTTTTTTTTTTTTTTGTCTTGTTTTGTTTTGTGTTTTTGCTTCTTGGTCTGATATGGCTCGGGCCTTTATGATTTAGGGTTGTATAGGAATTTATGTGCCGTTCTGCTTTAACTAAGGGTTTGAAGCAGGGGTTTCCAGGGTTTTCTGTGGTTTGGTCAGGTTTGGCAGGGTTTCAGGGCCGGATTAAATTGGATCCGTCCTGGCTCAGACCTTCTGTGTTGAAGCGGCCATGCCACCGATGAGGAAATGAGCTCAAGACTCGCGACATATCCCACCTCAAAGCAAATAGGGTCCGTCATCACGAGCGCTAAAGGGCTTCGTCGGACTTGAATGCGCTGCTGTGTCAAGCGGATGGTTTGACCTGAACTGCGGAAGCTTGTTGGAGTCTGCCTTTGATAGAAGCCATAAGGTCCGGTTGTTTTGTAGGGTTTTCTCAGCTCTCTCGCCCCTGAAAGCTGCGGTGCCCTTGAGCCTTCCATGCTCCAGGAGAGTCCGCAAAGTCTTCCCTCCGAGCTCCTTCTTCAGATCTACGGTGCCCAAGGAGCGCCGTAGCTTTGGCAGCTCCAGTGTGGGATCTGCTTAGGTTCCTTTCCTACATGTAGATGTTCCCGGGCCTGCGTCGTTTCAATGATGTGCGACCTCAACGTTGTCTCCTTATCAAAAAGAGCCCCCCGAAGCGCAGGCGAGGGTAGTTTCTTGTATGGTCCTGGAGACAAGACGATCTTCTTGTCGGTTTTCCCATGCGGAGCTCCCTGCACGAAGGAGCGACCTGCAAGTCCGGCCGCCTCTCGTAGCTTTGATCCTCGCAGTCTCCCATAAGTGCGTACATACATGCGTGCTTGCACATGCACACGCACACAGGCACATCTCGCATTCTCTTTGTCTGTATGTGTGTAAAGCAGAGTCTTGAAAACGGCAGCTGCGTTTACGAAGTCTCGAGATTCCTGTCGAAGGCACCGGGAGAAGACGTACATCAGCACCCAGCAACGAACCCTTTCATCCCCAGTCGGTACACGAGGACATCATGGTGGCGCAGTACCAGAAGGACGGCCAGGTCGGTCCTCCGCCGGGTGCGTGGGCATCCCAGGTTGTCGAACCTTGCATTCGGGTCCTCGGCCGCTCTTTTTTCTCACGTCAAAACTGCAGACGCAGTGGAGTGAGGTCTTGAACCCAGAGCCCTAATCCCCGGCACGGCCTGGAGAACCATTGCGGCTTCAGAATCCGAGGTACAGCCCGAAGAGTCACAAAGCCATCGGTGCCGTGCAGCACGTGGCATCCAAGGGCGAGGGCTTTGGCTCTGCCGCTGTCTCAGCATCCGACGGCTAAGTTCCCCTAAGCCCTGAAACCCGAACATCGAAGCCACCAGATGCTTTCCAGCCCTGAGCTGAAAACAGGAAGCCGTTAGAGGCAGCTGAAGCCAACTCCCAGTGCGACCCCCCGCTGAGGGGCCCTGGGCTTTGGGCGTTGGATTTCCGGTTCAAGCTTTGGTTTGCTGATTTACGGGTTACGTTGGCGCTTAAGCACACATCTACGGAACACAATAAATTATGCATGTATGTATATATGTATGACATATATATATACATACACATACACAAACAGATAAATAGATACATAATAGATACGTATGTATGTATATACATACTGTATGGGTTGGTTACGCTAAGATGGCTTTGCCAAGTTGTCTGTCAAAAAACTGTATGGGTCCATGGTTCGACCCTTCCGATCCAAGCTGAGCGGAAAAGAACCTTCCACCGGAAACCCTGAAGACCCCAAAGAAGTCTGAACCCAAATAGACCTTGCACGCAAATAGACCTTGACAAAACACCCTAAACCCTAAACCCTAAATCCCAACCCCTAAACCCTAAACCCAAAACCCTAAACCCTGAACCCTAAACCCTAAACCCTAAAACCCAAGATGAACTTCAACTCCTAGCGGCCCCGGCTCTTCCGATCCCCGGGTCCCCCATCTTCCCCAAGTCGGCGCAGCGCTTCACGAGCCTGCCTCCGGGCTTCACGGCGCCGGGCCCCGGATGGTGCGCCCCCGACTGCTTCTTCCGACTGGAAGAGAAAGTTAGGTGCCAGAGCTTCGAAACTTTGTAGCAGCTCGATGGACAAAGACGGCGGCGATGATGACGACCAACGCTTTTCAATACGGCTGCACTTCGCTCTGCCTCTACCCGTGCGATGATGATTGTCATCATCACCCAGCTTTACTGTTTTTCACCCGGACTTCCGGCAGGTACAAGCTGTCGGACGTGACCGGTGGCAAGGTGAAAGGGACCTTCAACCGAGTAGCGGCCGCTCGGGCTCAGAGACGCATGGGGATGATTCCGAATTGTGGTACCTTTTCGGAATTCCGAGGCTGCCAAGAATGAGCCCCGTGTTGTAGCAGGATTGAAGTTGGGTCTTCCTCTAAACCCCACTAGACGGGCATTTTGGTAAAGTCTTGTGTATTCCCTATTTAGTCATGTGACAATGAGCAGTGAATAGTGACAGCAACACGAAGAGCAAAGGTTTGGCGTTGCACGTGATCTTTGACCCTTGCTGCAACAGTAATGATTACAACAAGAAGCATGCGAACTATGACAACCTGATAGTGAGGCCGATAGTTGCCGTTGCCGCTCTGCTGCTGCGACTGCACTGCTGCTGCTGCTGCTGCTGCTGCTGCTGCTTACACAGCTACTTCAATGTTACTGCTGCTGCTACTTCTGCTGCGACTACTGCTTCTGCTTACTACGCCCTACTTCTGCCGCTGCTGCTGCTGCTGCTGCTGCTGCTGCTGCTGCTGCTGCTGCCACTACCATCACTACCATCACCGGAATACTCATCGTTGCCAAAGTCATTGATAATGCATGATCGTGATCATCGTCATCAGAGCAACAGCAGGAGCAATCATACCAGTTGAAATGAACAGCTTCATGTATAAGCGGTTGACTACGCAGGAAAAACATCGGAAAAAGTTGATTCTGTTGTAGACCCGAAATCGTCGGAGCCTTATTATGTTATTCTTGCCCCTACACATAAATGTCGTATTGTTATCACTCTTCTTCTGCTACAACAACAACAACTACAACAACAACAACAACTACTACTACTACTACTACTACTCCCACTCCTACTACTACTACTCCCACTCCTACTACTACTACTACTACTACTATTCCTGCTACTACTACTACTACT